TCGCCGCCCTTGAATGCAAGCCCTCCTCTGCACACTCGGACACTGTCACTACTGTTGCTGTCATCTAAAGAAAGAAGAAGATTCTTTGCAGGTGGAATAGATGGATGGACTTTCTCATTTCCATACGCTCACACAACTCGGTAGGCTGCATTTGCATTAGAATGCAGACTGCTCTACAGTAGACTTCTGCTTTATGACTAATGATCATAATAGAGAGGATTTCAGTACTGAGCAACTATGCAAGATTGGCAGGATTTCTCAAAATGGATTCAGAAGCTCACTTTTCATCATGTGTCATCTCCTTCTTCTGATCTGATCTGATCTGAGCTCTTACGTAAGGTACTCAGAGAGTGGGAGAAAGGCGGCGCCATGACAGGTAAGTATTTGTGTTGACGTTTCTAATAATAAAAAAATGTCCTTTCAAAGAGTGAGCTGCTTCATTTGGCAACTGAAGGGCCAGCGGCGGCGGCGGCGGCGGCGGCCACTTACGCTTGAATCTGTCGTTCCCCGTTTTGCCTTACCTTGAAAGCAAAAAAAGAAGGCGTCTCGTTGTCTAATTAGAGTGTTGCTTTTTATGATTATAATGGAATCTTGTTGGTTACATTGAAGAAGAACAATCTCAGTGCTACTGTTGCGATGGTCGAGGAAGCTGCCGCTANAGAGTGTTGCTTTTTATGATTATAATGGAATCTTGTTGGTTACATTGAAGAAGAACAATCTCAGTGCTACTGTTGCGATGGTCGAGGAAGCTGCCGCTACTGCTGCTGCTGCTGCTGCTTCTGTGGCTGCCAACAAAGCCGATTAAACAAATAAAAATCAAAAGCTTTTCAAAGTGTTGCGCTAGTGGCGATGAGTTATTATATGTATGTATGTAAAGCAAGGTGCGACACACGGCACTTTGGCCAATTTGTTCGCATGGTCCGCCTGAATAGGCGCATATATGTAGGCACTTCTTATTGAGTAGCATTCGAGGAGAAGGAGAGCACCTTTGCCGCTGCTGATCAGCANAATCAAAAGCTTTTCAAAGTGTTGCGCTAGTGGCGATGAGTTATTATATGTATGTATGTAAAGCAAGGTGCGACACACGGCACTTTGGCCAATTTGTTCGCATGGTCCGCCTGAATAGGCGCATATATGTAGGCACTTCTTATTGAGTAGCATTCGAGGAGAAGGAGAGCACCTTTGCCGCTGCTGATCAGCAGTGCCGCAAGCACTGTGAATCAGCGCAACAATTATGGCTAATCGATAATGTAAAGAAGAGAAGGGGAGAGAGAGAGACATCAGCTCACTGAGGCACGGCAAAGATAACAACAACAAAAGTGGAGAAAAAAGTAAAATAAAATCACTTCACTGAGGAGAAAGGGGAGAGCTTGGCCTTGCTGCCTTTTTGGAGAGTGTCCGCACTCATCATCACTGATCAGTGATCAGCAGTGGAGGGCAGTGNAGTGCCGCAAGCACTGTGAATCAGCGCAACAATTATGGCTAATCGATAATGTAAAGAAGAGAAGGGGAGAGAGAGAGACATCAGCTCACTGAGGCACGGCAAAGATAACAACAACAAAAGTGGAGAAAAAAGTAAAATAAAATCACTTCACTGAGGAGAAAGGGGAGAGCTTGGCCTTGCTGCCTTTTTGGAGAGTGTCCGCACTCATCATCACTGATCAGTGATCAGCAGTGGAGGGCAGTGGATCGATATATAAGCCACTGGAGCTGCACTCCATTAGCCGCATTAAGTCTGTCAGCAGTGTTCAGTTCAGCACACATCTTCACTCCAGCCAACCAGCAGCAACAACGATGAAGTTCCTCATCCTCTTCGCCGTGGTCGCCACCGCCTCCGCCAACATCGTCAACACTGGCAGCAGCGCTGTCCAGCGATCCGACGACGGTCACGGCAACTACGAGTTCGGCTACAATGAGGACCACGCCACCGGGGGCACCTTCCGCAAGGAGAAGGGCGGCCCAGGGTAAGTGTGGAGTTTCATTCATTGATCTCCAAGTCCAAGTGATATCAGTCAGCGCAGCCCAGTCAACTGTTTCCCTCCGCAAATGCAGTTACATGACCGGCTCGTACGGCCTCCGCGACCACGACGGCCGAGTGCGCACTGTGAACTACGTCGCCGACGCTCACGGATACCGAGCTCAGATTTCCACCAACGAGCCCGGCGTGGACCCCAAGCAGGACCCCGCTGCCGCCTCCATCAACGGCGCCCACGGTGGTAAGCCTGCTGGTGGTAGACCCAATTTGTGTTCTGTTATCTTACCAATCATTTTTTCACCCCCTTCTTCCCAGGATACGGCATCGCCGCTGGCCCGATCCTCGCCGCGCCCGCCATCGCCTCGTACGCCGCTGGCCCCATCGCCGCCGCCGGTCCGATCGGTTACGCTGGCGGATACGGAGCCGGCAAGGGCTACGGTGGTGAGATCCTCGGCGGCTATGGCGCCCCCTCGGCCTACTCCGTGGGCATTCAGCACGCCTCCATCGCCGCCCCGGTGGCCTACGCCGCCGGCAAGGTTGGAGCTTACGGAGGAGCTCTGGGCGGATACGGTGGTCACTACTAAACAAACTTGACTG